TAAAATGTAGTTACATTATATATAACAAAGTACAGAAGCATAGGAAAGGGAATTAATATGTGTGTGTGTGCGCGCGCGCGCGTGCGCGCTATAGAAACAAGGAACGAACTTTACACTGTTTTTATTTTTCTTTATGGATTTCCATTGGAATCATTGGATCATGAGTATTTGTGATATGGAGTGCATCGTTGTAGTTTTATGATAAGAACCTTTGACTGATGCTGCAGTCAGCTACATAATCACATTTGAGTCTCATACTATTCGTCCAGAATCTCCAATTATCATCCTAACAGAAAATGTATCAAGGCAATATTGCAAGTCCATATGTTCAATACTATTTAAGTTTTATGAAGTGAATTCTTGGAAAGAAGATTCGGGCTGTGCTTCTTTCTGGCTGCTGCTATTCATGCATATTTTTGACCACCTAGTTTTGGCAGAAGTCTGTATCTAATATTTTCCCCTTCATTTATCGTGAAATATTTAGTTAAAGGCCACATTATCTATGCATATTGCTTTACCATTTTACACCTTTTGTTTGTTTGTGATTGTCTGATACTCTTATTCTGATTTCAATTTTCAGTCCTTGATTTGCTAGCAATATTGCCTGTTAACGTTGTATTTTCTTTTGGTCTCAGACAAAATCAAGCCTTCTGATGTAGGTCTTGAGCAAGAAGCACAACTAGTTCGTGGGTGGAAAGGTTCCTTGAATGAATGCAATGGTGGGGGCCTTCGATCACTGCCACCAATCAAATACCTGCACCTGCATGAATGTGATAGCTTCTCTGTAAATATCTTGTCATTGGTTCCTCAACCTTTTATTTTGTTTTCTATTTTAGATTTTTTATAATTTTTGCTTGCCGTCAACATGATTTTGATTATGGTGGTGGTTTATGTTTAATTTCTGTTTTTGAAACTATACAATCGTATAATTGAGAAAAAAATATTTCCTGCAGATGGGTATATTTTGCATGCCCCCTTCCTCTATCCTTCCTCTTCACAATCATCCTGGGATGACAGTGTTCAGTAAGCTGGTATATGGTTCATTACATGTAAAATCCTATGATTGGATTGACATACCTGGGCCTTCTGACCCATCTCAAGGTGATTTGTTTCAGTCAGATACCTTCCTTTTATTCAGTTATGGTGCTGGTCCTAAATGTTCTATGTGGAAGAGCTTGAGTTAAAACAAAGTGAAGCGATATTTGGAATACAACACAGCAAACCATCTTTAAAAAGGATTACTGCTTCTTAGTTTTTAAGATGTATTGGTGTATTCTTTCTTCTTCGTGTTTGAGGTGAATTTGCCTAATCTAAAGTTCTCTATATTCTTGTCCCCAACACTCTGTCTCACATAGGTACGAGCTTTGTGAGTGGTTTACAAGGATATTGGGTAGCTTTAGCTATTGTCCAAATTCATGTTTCTGAAGGTAGTAATCTTCCCTGTGTTGTCTTGGTTGGTGCTAACCACTCAGATGATTCTAGGCTTGTAGATTATGCCATGAATGGCTGCAAAGATTATATCGTGCATCTTTTTTTCTGAAAAATGGAATTGGTCAGATGTGGTGGGGGTAGCGTGTGTGGTGGCTGTAATACCACATCATAATTAGAACTCTTTAAGCTGTATATAAGAATTTGGGCTAGGTGCCTGTGGACTAGAAAAAAAAAAAAACAATCCGCTGTGGAAAATAATGTGGTTATTATTAAAATGAAACATTAAGTCTAGGTTGTGTCCAAGAATCTCGATGTACTTTCTTCTGGTCAAAACACCATATGTCTTCTCATGGCTATTTGTTCTCTTGAAGATTAACTCCTCCTTTTCCTAAATATATTTCAAGCTTGTTAGCATTAATTTCATTATATTTCTGATATGGGATTTGAGCAGTTGCATTACTCTAAGTTGCAATTCAATCTATATTCCATGGGTTGTCCCTCATTACATTGACAATATCTGGCCCCCACAATTTTAAAAATTCATTTTTCCAAAACTCATTTTCAACCACACATTCTCCCATAAAATAATTTTACACGCAGACTCAAAACTTTTCCTTATTTTTTAACCATACCATTCCAAATGCATTTTGGCCCAAAAATGGGGCTCAAACGGGGGCATTGTTACATTGAACTTCACTTCTAAAATATTAGTTGCCGAGATGTTCTGTGTCCTAGTTGAGAGCTGTAAGTTGCCTTTTTACTGCCTGGTTCGTCCCTTCTGCTAATGCTTGCTGGTCGCTGGTAATAGGAAAGTAACAACTCGAGGCTTTTTTTTCCTTTTTCCCTTCCTGTTTTCGCATTAAAAAATAGAAATTCAAAAAGTTTTGCAAGGGGATATGGCCATGTAAAGAGAATCAAATAAATATTTGTTTTTAATATTAAGAATCGAAGAAACATGTTGAAGTTACCTGTGGTCTGGGGATTTTTCACCCTTAGAAACTTATTTGGGTATTTTTTTTCTAGATCAGTTGTGAAGGTCTTCATCCAGCAATCCATTAAGTTGTATAATGCCTGAAACTCAATTTATGAAGACGTTACATATATGCATGATTGGACTCTGCAGGGCGTAACTCTATATTTTTGCATATGGAAGAAAAACTTTGTCATCTTATTCTTCTTGACATTTGCATTGTTCATTAAATTTACTTTATTTTTTTCAGCAGCCCGGCCTGCAAAGGTGGTTAAAGATTGTGATATGACTGCTCCTTGTGAGGCAACAATTCTCTATCCAACTAGTGGAGGTAACATCCACTGTTTCAAAGCGATCACTCCTTGTGCTATCTTTGACATTCTTTCTCCACCATACTCTTCTGAGGATGGACGACACTGCACATATTTTAGAAGGTCTCCGACAGAAAATCTACCCGGTAACAACTCTATTTTTCATCAACTAAGATATGGAGCCTGTTTGGGATAGCTTCCTCTAAAGCTCTTTTAACCAAACATGCCCAAAGCAACTTCTTAGTCTCAGAAGTAGCTTTTGACATTTCAAAATCCCTACGAAACAGGCTTAGTCATTTATTAATTTTAGACTAATAAAGAGTTGACTTATCTTGCTCTTTTCATTGTCTCTCAAGATACTCTCAAGGTGGACGGACTGATGATATCTGAAGTTACCTGGTTGGAAGAGTTTCAGCCTCCTGATGACTTCGTGGTTAGGAGAGGGCTATACAAGGGTCGTGTTATCAAAACTTGAGATGATTTTTGATGTTATTCATATGCATTGATGCCTTGATTGGGGAGTTTATTTAGTTTAATTGAAGTTTCAACTTATGTGACAATAATTTTTGCTGACTGCAGAAATTAGACTTTGAGATGTATATATTGATGCATTAGATATTATTTTCGTGACCTCAACCTAAAATAGTACAAACTTAAGCAGAAATATGGATGTGGTGACGCCTTTACATGGTTCGTTTCTTGTATTTTTTAACCGGTTTCTCTTTTCCCGTGTTCGTCTCATTTGCTATCGACTTGCCATGACTTGTTGCAGCATCAATGTTTCATTGCCTCGTACTATGTTTGCCATTGTGGACCTAAAAGGGCGGGGGCAGATTTACATGGACTAGCAGGACAGAAATTTCCTGTTACGAATAACAGGAAAGAGTGCATGCAATTGAAGTCCGAGTGTTCAACTTATCAACTAAACTTACATTCATTATTTCAGCAGTCTTCTAAGTAAAGTCCCAAAGGAATATAATTAAACTGAAAAATAGAACCCATTCCACACAGGCAATAGGACAAATTAATGCATCGTGTGGCTCATGAAAAGCTCACATATTACCTTTAACATGAGAGTACCACACTGTTTCATAAGGTATACATGAAATCATATAACCGCCACACTGTTTCATAAGGTATACATGAAATCATATAACCACACAACTGCAGTAGGACAAATTAATGCATCGTGTGGCTCATAAAAGCTCACATATTACCTTAACATGAGATTAAACTCCCGTTTGTTTCATAAGGTATACATGAAATTTTTGACATTAAATTGAGAAATAGAGGAATAATGCTTCAGTAGAGATGAATTCGAACAAGTCCAATCTTGACCTATACCAGTCATCAAGAATGCACAAAAATCACATTGTCAGTGCAAATATCGTTTCAGAGTATGTAATAGTTTAATGATAAATTGAGAAAACAATGCTTAGATAAAAGAAAACTAATTGTAGAAAACATCATCTCTGGAAACAAACAGAATTTGAACAAATCCAATCTTTACCTATTTAAGTTGTCAAGAATGAACAACTATCACATTATCTGTTGAAATAACACATAAGAGTGCTTGAAAAAAAGGCTTCCAATTATATTGCTTTTATACACTATAATATTCTCTGTTCATTTAATGATCATCTAATCAACCAACAAGCAATGAGGATTACTAACACAGGTGATCAGATAAAGATCAGCATAACTTCATATTTTACATCTCTCATAACAAAGACAAAATAGTACTCCACTATCAGACGAACAATTATAAACAGCATGAAACCTGCAACAAGTTTTGAACAAGATCCTACAGCAGAAATATATATGCAAGTAGACAACTTATGGACCTTGAACAAGATCATACAAAGTTTAACACCTGTATAAAAATGGAATCTTGAAACATATGAATTTCAAAGGATATTCATTACATCTCATAATGAAGAACGCGATCTTCACTTGATATATACGAACTTCAGATTGTTTGAACAATGCATTCTCTGATATTATATGCAATTGCTTGAAAATTGCCAGCTAAGTCACCTCATTCCATGGTGTTGTTGAGTAAATATGGATCGGCTCCAATCAGATCTTTCAAATGGAGAGCTTCATATATTGCCATGACAAGCAGGAAGTATAAACTGGCCTCATTCGTGCCACAGCCTCTTTTTGGGAAAAAAGACAATAGTCGTTCCAAATAAAAACTGGTAATAATTTCGCGAGGAAGAGAAGGGCAGAAATGCAATTGAGTAGAACTTATATTTGCATATAAAAGCTGAATAAGGCACTCAGAATCAGATCGGCAGATCAGCTGTGAACATCCAAACAATGAAACCACATTTACCAGGTGCAGCGCAGAGATCAAGGACATGGTCTCCTGGTGAGATACCCAAAGCTAAAACAGAAGCTCCAGAAGCTGCATCAATACCATACATCTGCATGACAAAACCATGATTATTTCTAAATACAATGTAATTCAACCATTTTTCTTTTTGTTTTCAGGTAAAGAGTCATATATAGTTCAAAAAGGGCAGTAGACAGGCTATAAAAAGAAAATTTAGGTCAAAACAAATAGGGATTCCATGCGACTTTTTCACACCATAAGATAGATTACTTTTGGGAGAAGAAAACCACAGTTTTTAAGTTGATTCGAGATTTAAGATGGAGTTATTGGTGTAAGATTTATTCTTCTTCTCTTCAAGGATTAAATCAATACCCGGTTATGAATTCCAATTCATTTATGGTGGTTTGATTGGTTTAAATTGTATGGAAAATGTCACATCTAAGATTCAATTTCTACTTTGGTTGTTTTATACAAAAGTAAAAATATAGTTTGAATTCCAAAGGCAAAGGTGGAAAGACTTTCCAATTTCATGTAGGTTGAAAAATAAATACTCAAGTACCCATAAGAATGCATTTTCCATGAAATTGGAAAAAAAATAAGCTTGGTTGTACCTTGTAAATCAAACTTTGTTTTCACTTTCGTATCACACAGCCAAAGTAGAAATTGAATTTTTTGAATATGACATTTTCCATGAAATTTAAAGCAATGAAACGGACCCTTAATGTTTTTTCTTCTTTTCTCATGAGTAACTAACTATTTAGTTTTGGAATCCAGTGTAACCTAATTTTGGACTCTTAATGTATATTATCAACTTTTAATTTTCAATTGATTATTGTGTATTGTCTTAATAATTGGAAATAATTAGCCAATTTTTCTATGATTTGTCAACGATAACGAGTTGAGAGTTGGATTACTTATTTAACAACATAGTAAAAATTAGATCTTGGATATAAGTCAAAGAGTACATTTTTTTTAATTTTGCGATCCTTAATTGAGTTCTTTTTTGATTGAATGCTTTTAATTGAGATTTATTTAGATAGACCTTGTGAAAATAATAATTCAAATTCTCTAAATCCACTTTACTACTTGTTTATTTTCCGAAGTAAACTTTATTTCAGATTTATTAAATCCATTTTATCAAACAAGTTTTTCACCATTGGTATCGTCATAACAAATATAAACTGCTAGATCGACACCACTACTTTTATTCCCCAAACTAACATATTAGTTCAAAATCTTTCTTATTTAGCCCCTATTTGAATTTCATTATTTCGAAATTTATTATTTCTTAAATTTATTTTCAACAATACATTCTTATAATAAATATTTTATACTTAAATTCAAAACTTTTTCCAACTTTTTAATCACACATTCTTAAAAAATTCAATATTATAAAACTCATTTTGATGAAATAATGAGCATCAAACATGGGTTCAACCGCTGTCTGGCACCAATTTGTGAAAGATTTTCATTAGAATTTTTACCGTAGTGAAACTGCATATGAGTCTAGTGTGATAAAGAAATTACAAAAAAAATAAAGGGCTAGGGGAAGTGCAACGTTTATAAAGATGATTAAAATCTGGTATAAAATTCCTCCCAAACACGTGCTTAATTCATCTGTTATCACATTTCACGCCTTGATTGGTATATACACCATGTTTGATACACATTATTTTAAAAATACATTTTTCTCTCTTTTTTTCAACCACACGTTCTTTAATAAAATAATATTACGCACAAATTAAAAAAATTTCCTTATTTTGTAATCACATATTTTTCATCAAATCACTATTTAAAATGTATTTTTTAGAGAATAATGTGCATCAAATAGGATGATAATTGCCAAAATTTTGTGAGAGATTTCTAGTAAAGTAGGAAGAGAGATTTTATCTCGTAGTAGTCACGGTCTACTTTTCAAGGAGAGGGAAAAAAAACTATTAAGGCCCCGTTCGGGAGGGATTAAAATCCAATTAAAATTGAAAATATGACCGTTATTGGGTCCCACTCGTCTAATAAAAGTCAACAATAACGGCTATATTTTCAATTTTAATCCGATGAACAATTCTAATTCTACTCCAATACTTCAATTCCTTGCTAATAAATGCTCCTACAACTTTTAAAAATATGCGTTTGTGTATATATTAGATCAGATCAGATCCAAACTTTATAAGAGGTTCGTTAACCAGAGACAATAGACGTAATAAGTAATAAATATTTTACATGCATCTCGTGTTTAATCATATCTATCATGGTGGGTACCTAATGTGACGTCAATGTCAAGTTGAAAGTGACACTTCCCGGATTTGTTGGTTATCACCCGTGAAGACAACAACAGTCGTAATCAATAAAACTAAAATTAACAAGACATAAAGAAATACATTTAATAAAGCATATTATATTAGAGAAAAATAAAAATCCAATCAATTCCAATTTCAGAATCTATCTGGGAGGTCGACCACCGAACTTAGAAATATGAAAAAAGAACTTGATTAGCTCTATTAAGTGGTCGAGCTGGGAGGTCGACCACCAAACGTGGTTCATATTCAAAAGCTTTAGACAAAATGCTTATCCATTAGATGAGTGCAAAATGACAAGTAAATTTTTTTTTTTTTTTTTTTTCTTTCCTATGTTCCTATCTATTTCTTTCTTACTAATATTGAGATAATCATTCAGCTATGGCATAGAACCTAAAAGAACTCGTATTATTGCATTACATTTGAAAAGAGGAGCACAATTACACAATCATACGAACATTTGCAGAAGCATTAGCATTAGTTCACAAATTGCATTTTTCTAAGGAGTGCGAACTCCACCACTACCGCTACCGATATCACCATCATCATCATCACCATCTTTCCCACCACCACCAGCCACACCCCATTAGTATTGCGATAATAAGCAAGAACTGGCACTGCCGATCATTGCCATGATTGAAAGCAGAAAAAGGAAAAACTTTAGTTTATCATATTTTTCCAACAAAAAACGTGTGCGAATCATACGGCTCAGTGGTACTGTAGACAACATTTTAGTTTCTTTTTGTTCTTCAATATGTTCCATTACTATGGATCATGTTACCAATCATACAGTTGGCTTGTAAAGAAATCCATTGAAATTATAATTTGAACAATTCTAATAGTAATTCCTAAACAAGTTTATGTTTATGTACAAGATCATTAAACTTTCAAGACACGTTTGCATATTGAGTACTAAACAAGTTTATATCTCAACTTTTTATTATTTAACAATATTTGTCACATTTTAGGATGGATGGTAACAAAAAAAAATCTCACCTGCAAGTCATCGATCATCCTTAATCATATCTAGTCTAAATTACTATCGTGCATTTGGTGTCAGGTTGAAGGTAATGCTTTTAAATTTGACGGCACCGCCTCGAATGTGGCGCTTCTAAATTTTTTGGGCCCTCCTCACGAATATCGTTCATAGTCAATAAAACTAAAAATCAACATGACCCAAAGCAAATCGTTTATTATAAGACCTATCATCCTTCATTAGGTTGTGTTTGACACCCATTTTAAAAAAGAAGTTGATTTGGAAGAGTGATGGATGGAAGAGTGTGTGGTTAAAAAGTAACGAGAATTTTTGGGTTTATGTGTAATATTAATTTATTGATAGAATGTGTTGTTGAAATGAAGAAAGAGAAACCAAACGAGAAAGTGAATTGAGGAAAAAATAGATGTCAAACAAGGAACTGCATTCTGGATTGAAAAATAGAAAGTTATTCTGTGATAGTCAAAATTTGAAGTCCCTGTCATATACCAATTAGCAGATTCCCATGTTTCAGAAGCTAAAATTTTACTCAGATAAAAACTGCTTAAAACACGCGTATGCACATATGTGGATATATAGGTAATATTTACAAGTATTAAGATAATTGTTTTGACAACTGAAGAGCAAACGAAATCAACTACCATACTGTCAACCAGAGAATCCTCAAAAAATATACAAACTAAGACCTGCAAGCAGTTGTAGGCCTGTTGTGAAACGGAGGAATGAATCTTTTTCGAAGTTTCTATCAGTCGTGATGCAAAGCAAGATATGAGAGAACATGTACAAGTCTTTCATCATCCATATATTAAGTTTAGTCTCGTGTTTCTCTTTAGGGATGTACGACTGTACAGAAGAAAATAACCCAAAGCCTAACAATGAATCTATACAGGAACTCATTTTTTATTACGACTGTTATTCACTAGATGGGAGATAGGCATCAGAATTACAGTTACTAAATCATTGCCCTCTAGGATAACAAAGCAAGCGCCTCCAGAAAACCATGGAAAACAAGAAAAAAGTTGCACCTTTTTGTCATCTTAGAAGTCCATTAAGCTAACGGATTTCCAAATATAAGCTGAATATGAACCGAAAAGCCTCAGGAATGGTTCTTCTATGTTTCAGGAATAGGAGTCAACTGTTCCTGACAGAAAAGGAAATAATGTGAGCAATTATTAGATTTTTGTGTATAAGAACATATGAAGTGAATTTAAAGAATCAAATAATTAGTAAAAATAATGAGAAACAGTATCTCAAAATAACGAATAATTGATTCTGCACCTTTGTAGTTTTAACCATTGTTTCCCATTTGGGATCTCCGGATCGTGCCTTAAGTCCCTGGTTTTGAGAATTTGTTGTTGGGCCAATATGTGAACGTTGAAATGAATTCTTTGTGGACATGGAAGGCAAAGTACGGAAAAGCCAAGAATCTGACGGAGATTTCGGTAAAGGTGGAGGAACAGGAAACTGCAAGTGGCTTTGATGAGAATTCTCTAAATTCTCTGCTTCTGCTGGCTGCATTTGTAAGCTCTCAGTACCTTCCTTTTCATTTACATTTAAATTTTTGGCAGTATTTGTATTCCTGTAAACATCTTGATCATGTCCAAAAGATTTTATTTTCTCCATTCTCTCTTTTCTATTTGATTTATTGACCAAAGATACCACAATAAAGTCATTAGATTTCTGAGCGTCAGTCAGTAATTTTGCTCCTCTGTCTGCAGTATCCAATTTATGTTGATCTTTGGACTTAGCACTGTCGTAATCGTTGTCTCCTGAACCAGGCATTCGCTCCATTCCTTGCTTATGTGACAAACAAAATCTCGTTCTTGGAGATTCCACCTGCTGTATAGCATCTACATACAGAGTTTTCTCTACTGGATTTCCCGAATCTAATTCCTTTGAACTGCTCTGATCAGATGATAATTCTTGAAATGTTTTGCAGCCCCTTGTTTCTTCAGGAATGGCAAAGACCCCTTCCTCATCACGAATGGATCGAGGTAATTTATCACAATAGATAGACGTATTATGTCCATCTAGTGGCCCACGCAGAGATGATCCTTTTAGATTCTGTCTCTGCCGATGATTTGAATTAAACTGATTTCTTAAACTTGTTTTATCCTTGATGGCATCTGTTTGGACTTCACCAGCAGATTTTCTCTGGGAAGTGTCAGAATTGGACTTCTTCATAAAAAAGAAATACAATTTAGTCAAACAAAATCCACGCATGAATATTGGCACAAATAAGTAGAGGCTGGGAGCAGAAGGAACTACTAATTACCTCATTCTCTGTTCCACTGAAATAACAAGCTGATGAAGATCTCGCTTGCATTCTATTAGCAGGAGACCTTGGTACTCGAGTCTTCACACTCATTGCAGGTACAGGATTTAAAAGGCAGAGTGAACTCTTATAGCAAAACCGGGGTAGTAACCCACAAACTGCTGGCAAATTATCACCTTGATGACAATCATCATCACTTTCTTCATCATCTTCACCATCATTGTAGTGATATTGGTGGGAATAACGGTTTGCAAAACTAGGACCATACCGCAGCAGAGGCTTATCTCCAATTACATTTTTCTTTATCTGTCTTGGTTTTTCTCGAACTAAAGGTTGCTTTCTGGGAACATATTCAGGCATTTCTGAAGCCATTGCCTTAGCTGCGGGGAGAAACCGACCCATCATGAACTCCTGCATTTGCGGATCAGTTGAAAACCTTCCAGATGGTTTCATGTCAAGATCATCAAATCCACTTAAACCACTCAAACTACAATTCATGAAAAACGATTCAGTTCTTGAAAGTGTATCAAGTGCATCTACATATGCTTCTTCACTAACACTTGAATCGGAACTCTCCTCATCCTCTTTTGTCTCTTCGAAGTTATCGAAGTTTTTGTTTTTATCAAGCACAGATGAAACACTCCGTACGTCGTGAGTGACATTTTGCAATTGACTTTTAGTTACACTAGCAGTTGCAGAATCTTTTTCAGAGCTTTGCTGGTTAGCCTTTGGAGATCTCCCAGGAGGAAGCTTTGGGACAACTGGAGGCCTATCAGAGTTATGAGTTTGCGGTTTGATATCTTCCTTTGGTCTTCCGGGTTTTTGTTCCCAGACAAAAGGCACAGCTCCTGGATTACTCACAGGGCTCGATTTCAGTTCTGATCTGTAATGTGGAAGTCGCGGTCTCCTGCTAAGGGTATTTTCGGTTTTAAGTTTCTCTTCTTTTTCGGTGGCCGCTGTTGATGAAAATCTTCTCACAGATAGAAGCGGTTGGTTGAAATTCAGTTGCTTGTCCTCCATCATTTCTTTGGAACCATGATTAAAGCTATCTCCATAGATACTGCCACAAATTAGATATGCATTTCAAGATTTATGGTTGAAAAACAGTTCATTGGTGCATATTATGTAAAACAAAAAAAAAAAATTCTTAAAGTTTTTTCAGATGGCAGCATGTTTGTCTAGGAGTTAAAAAAGGGGTTTTAGGAAAGTCGGAATAGATTTACTTTTCCAAAAGTTAATTGGTTACAAAAGTTACTTAAAAGTAACTTATACGCTTAGCCCAAACATGCTCGGGAAATAATTGAAATTTTCACATACTTCATGTGAACATTAATTAACTTCACTTTTAGAATAGTAGATTCTATCAAACAATAACAATAATAATGCCAACAGAGCAACACAATGACGACAATGATAACAACTTAATTATCACATTTTTTGTTATACAAAATGGCTATATAATTTCCGAAAGAGGATATCAGTCTAATGCATTTCACATGTTTCATATGTCCAGCTATTATCATTTCACTCATTTGTTGATTCGATATTTTTACCATGTCGATTGTGCTATAGATTTGACACTTCAGATTCAATTGTCAATTTCCCGTAACCGAAATAGGATTGATTACGCCTCTTTCCCATTTCCATACAAGAGGTCTTATGTATTTCCACGTCCTTTTAGACCCCAACTAGACTGTATTACATTTCATACCAATCCATCTCCAACGGCGCCCATTAAAGTATTGCACAGCGCCTTCCACACATCACGCCAGTATATGTCATTCAATCCTATACACATTTTCAAAATGCAATATGTTTACTTCAGACAATTTACGACAGAAAGAAATCTACATAGGAATCCCAGTCGACACCCCAACATTGGAATCCCCAGCTCTGTTCTCCATTCTTTACCAATTTAAATCAACAAAAACTCCAAATCGCAATACGATTTGAAAATTCATATAGGAATAATATCAAGGGACCTCTAATCTTCAAGAACAAGAGCAAACAGTCATTCATACTCGGAGAAATTGATTAGTTATCCTCAGTGTACCGATAAATTCTGATTGATTGGAGATTAATTTCCACCGCTCATCGAATATCTATAAATTCCAACTTAACAGAAAATATTTCAAGAATCCGTTTCCAATTCCTAAAAAGAAAAAAGAAAAAAAAATTCTATTGCATTTCAAGAACATCTTGAAGATCGAGATTTCAGCCATTTTATATTCAAATCAACCAAATAAATCCCATTAATACTCTACCCAATAATTGAAACAATGAAATCCCAAATATGCTCAAAGAAATACACAAACAGAGGAAGAAAACTTACCTCTGAAAATATGAAGAATCTCGGAGCAAAACTAATTTCCCAAGCTGAATGATTAAGCATATATCACACTGTCAGGCGCCAATAAACTGTATATAGTTACTCATGAAATCTGTGGAACACCAAGAGAACAAGTAAAAGACAGAATTTAATAGAAAGAGATCATGGATTTCACTGGAGAAAAGGAATATCTTTGATTTGTTAAATGCAGCAAAATTGGGAAATCTTGCTATGGGTAATGAGAATCAATACGTTACTTCGTATATAAAAATATTATACTTCATATGGAGTTAGCTTTTGGGGTGGTCACCTCATTTTTGGATCATGTGAAGACATTTTATTAGAAAGGGACCATAAAGTCATAATCATATGAATTGTATGATTTTTCGTTCAAGTGTGAAAGGTGAGGGTTGACCCCTCGTGACGAACTTAAAAAATAATTCATGTCTGGTCAGATTATCAACTTTTAAAAGTAAATTTCTCTGTCTAAATTATATGCCAATTTTATATGAGATGCTAAACGACCAAATTACCAAAAGTTGCTTGCAATTTTAAAGTCTATTCGTAGAAATTCATATTTGAATAAGTTGACAATTCAAAATTTTATAATTGAATGTTACAGATACCCAAAATTATAGTAGCTGAAATATTGGAGAATCAAGTTAACGTGCTTTTGTCTTACTTCAAGTTGGTTACTCTATCTATTTTCGTTAGTTTGATTCATGAAAATGTGACGTAACAAACAAGCTTTTAACATGAGAGAAGAATTATAAGTCAATTACCGTGTGTATATATGAAAATGTGACATAACGGATCAACTTTTAATTAGAAAAAAGAAAAAGAACCATAGGGAAATTAAGTTTTCGTTCGTAGAGCATTCGAAAATTATTTAACCTAGCAAGTCACTCAATTAATTTCATAAATTAGAATTCATGTAGCCTAATTTAAATTAGGGAAAATTTAGAGTGTGTTTGGTCGTGTTTAAAATCCAATTAAAATTGAAAATATATCCGTTATTGAGCTTCACTCGTCTAATAAAAGTCTACAATAACGGCCATTTTTCTAATTTTAATCCAATTTTAATCTCTACCGAACACGCCCTTAATATATTAATTAATTAAGAATTATTGTAATTTATTTAAGGCTGTTTATTGGTCAAATTTAACTAAATTACTACTTATTTCATTAATACACCTCACTACTATAAATAAATATATAAAATGTATTTTTGTCAACTTTTATAATAATATATTATTAAATTAGCTTTTCGTTGTTTTAATTTTTTTATTAATTTAGAAAAATTGTGTTTCAATTATATAGGTAACCATCTTGTCTAGAGTCTACTTCTCATTGGGAATGAAGTAAAACAAAGTCTTTGAGGGACCATGCAATGCTCTTTCCATCAAGTTGCCATTTGAATACTTTGAGAAAATTAATTGTTACCCCCCCTCGTTTCCAGGGTGGCAGAAGGGCGGCCACGTGGCAAGCCACGTGTAGGGCAGTCAGAAAAGAGCAGAGGGGGACAAACCAAGTGGGTCGGGAGTCCCGCGAAGGAAATGGGAAGCTCGTTTTTTGGGGTCAACATTAATTAAATAATGTCATTATTTTTTTAACACCTCAGGAAATGTTATATTTCTTAATATTTATTTTATCTTTATTTGTCCATTCATGGGAATTATAGAATTGAATTATTTGCCTTTCTGGAGTATGATACACCTATTGCTAGATGGTTTGTGGACATTTATCTCTCTTTTTTCCTTTTTTGTGTCATTTCATATTTTTCATGTCTTTTTTTTTTTTTTTTTGAAGTGTATAGATATTAGATAGCATTAGAGTTGATTAAGGCGGACAATTTTTTTTGAATTTTTAAAATTTATCTTATCTTTCTTAATCTAACCAATAACGTAATACAGAGTGAGGATGTAAATTTAGGAAGATAAGAAAGATCGTGCAAATTAACATTTTCTAAATGATAAACTTACAAGTACTATCAATTTCAATTTACCATAATTTATCTATCTCTCCTCTCATTTTACACTTAATTTTTTTATATAGCCCATGTTTGATCCCATTTTCTAAAACTCATTTATTCTCAAATTCATTTCTAATCACATATTTCACGAGATCCACAATTTTTATCAACTATTTAATCATGCATTATATCTAATTTTATCAAAATCTATTGAAAATCTAATTTTAAATTAAATCAAATAGGGGTGCAATATTCGATGTGACAAATGAAAACTAATTTTGGAATTAAAAAACTAGGGCAGCTAGTGATTCCCAAAATGCACTCTTTGAAAAGCTCTTGACTTAGTATCGATTGATTGATCTATTTCAGACTAGGTCAAGGAATATGTTATCAAAGGAATGAGATAGATAACGCCATCTTTTACTCTCGTTATACACTTTGCTAAGATCTTCTCCGAATAATTAGAACAGAAGGCTCCAATGAACGCTCACAGCCTCAGGCGTATTTTTCCTTGCTTATGTGGTTTCACCCTTTAGGAGACTCACTTACTTGATTGGCTCAAACCCTACCTTAGAATTTGGCAGCAAGATCTGATTCAACTGAATATGGGACTTGGATATGCTCTTGCTCTTGATAGATATGTTGGGCGAGATAGTGACAAAAGGGAAGATTTTCTTAGATGATTGGGTTTGTAGCTGTGACTCGATCCTCTGGTATTGACTGACGCTGTCATAATTTCCAAAGAGTCTATTTAAGCCCCATTTTTTTGTGTAGAATTTATTTTACAATAGTAGATTGATGAAGCATGTGTGATTAAAAATGAAAAAAATGTTTTTGGTTGTGTATAATATTATTTTATTGAATAACGTGTGGTTGAAAAATAAAAAATAAAAATGTATTTTGAAAAATATGAGGATCAAAGAAGGATGTTAATCAAAACTCTCCTTTCCAATAATGTCAACTAATTGAGGATGGGTTGCTTCGTGGCCCATAACCAAATCAATTCAACAGTAAACAGCCCATCGTAGCCGTCTATATCATGGCCCAATTTGTATTTTTTACCTATACATATTGACATCATTGCCCTGTTTGATGGAAATTAAAATTAGGAAAAATTTCATTTTCAAGAGAATAAGTTTAGCTTATTTCAAATATAAGAAAACAAGTTTGAAATTTTCAAAATCAAATTTTTATTTATGAAATAAATTAATTTATTATTAAATATTTAATTCTAATATAATATAATTAACATATCCCACCTTCACCACCCTATCGCTCCGGCGACCATTCCGATC